TCTTGGGGCCCCTGTGTTCCATGTGGTTCAAGCAGGGATGAGGACAGGGGAGGAAGAAAGGTCTGGCGGGTGGGGAGCCCTGGCATTTTGTGAATTCTTTTTCCTTTTCTCAGTGTTTGGTGCAGGTATGAGCTGTCATCCCGGGCCATGGTTCAGGACGTTTAATTACATGCTACTTAGACCTTATTCCCAGCTTCTCCTTAAAGCTTAGGTAGCCGGACTACCCACGGTTCTGGCTGCTGGGCTGAGGAGCAACTGGTCCTCAAGAGGACCTGGCTATGAGTCGGCTTCTGTCTGCCACTGAAGTGACCACCTCCTCAACTTACCTCCCTTGCAGCAGCCGGCTAGATGCAGGCTTGTGTGAGTTGCAACATTGTTACTAATTATTTATAGTCGTGCTATGTCTTAGGGCATCTATGCCTAGCTGAGTGTTGATCAGTTGCAATCAAAACCCTGGGTGAAATAAAAATATTCATTGGGAGATGGACTGAAACATTTGTGTGTAAGGCTGGCTCAGAGGCAGAGGCAGAACAGCCTCCTTTCCTTTGAGATCAGGGACATTTTTCTCTGTCGTAGGGGTTTTTCTCATGACAGTAAAATGGTTGTGGCAGCTCCCATCTCACACTCTCGCACCTTTCAAGCCTGGCAGCGAAAGCTTCATTGGTTCAGGGACCCCGTCAGAGCCCACGAGATGCACCATTCACTTCTTGTACTTGCACGGAAGCTAAAGCCCATGGGTGGCACTCAGTAGGAACTAGGAGCCTGTGGCATTGTAAGAAGGGTGACGTGCCATGGGGCAGCAGCACCAACTGACATCCTGTACGGGTGAATGAATTAGGAAAGCTTTCTAAGGTGGCGTGTAACTGGGAGGAATGCTTCTTTCGTGTCTGTCTTCACGGAAGAGAGTCAAGGCTGAGAGTATCTAGGCAGTGTGCCGAGGGTCACGGCTGGTAAATGGGAGGTGGATCAGACCCAGACTTTGATCCCCACCCTAGAGGCTCCTCAGCCCCCCCCCCCGACCCTGCATGGGGTGCACAAAGGATTTTCTTTTGTGCCATCAGCAGATACCTGGTTTTAATCATGCGGTGTGTTCAGGGGCTGAGCAGGGTCCGTGTGCTGGGACAAGCAGCACAATGCATGTTGCAGGCTGGAGCAGGACCCACCAGGATGAGCCAGGTTCCCAGGGCAGCTCTCCTCTCTAGCAAGCAGTTCTCAAAACCACCCAGAGCCATTCTTCAATGGAAATTTTGCCTCTTTTAATTCCTACTGGTGCAAAACCTTGCACGTCCCTTATAAATATTTCATTCCCTTCCAGCAGCAAATTTCCCAGTGTCCAAATGTTGGCATGGCCTTCTTCAGTGTGCTGGGTAGCCTGTCCCTGCACAGCTGTGGGGTGGAGGAGACGGCGACCACCACCTCTCTCCTGGCACCACAGAGGTCAGAGTACGTGCCGGAAGAGGGAGAGGAAGCTGGGGTCCCTAAGGTGGCAGTCAGGGGTCAGATCCCATTGCTCTCAGGAGATTTTGCAAGAGATGGTGGGGAGCACAGGACCTAGGAGCACTGTCTCTCCTGTCTCTGCTGGTTCCTAGGCAGGGCCAGACTCAACAGGCATGAGGGTTTTATCACTCTGGGGGGAGAGAGAACATATTTATTTATTTTGTTTGGTTAGCTGGCTGTGGCAGAGGGATGCAGCTTCTTCTCTGTAAGCCTCTCCCAGGACAGGTCAGAGAGCTCCACTAAGTACTTCCAAGGCCCCATGACAACCAGGAGAGTAGAAATCCTTTGTATAGTGAGGTGTTCCTCTAAGAACCCAGGGCCTCCTCTATGCTGGTCCCAGGAACCCACAGAGTAGAGGTGGAACTCAGCACTGCCCTCCTGGAGCTCACAGCATACAGCATGGCTAAAGGAAGTGGGAGAAAGAGAATAGGTGGTGGTGGAAAAGCTGCAGTGCCTTGCACAGCCCTCTTCTTCCTGGAAGGCTTGAAAGTTCTGTGATTCTTCTCTCACTTTAGAGGGAGCCATCCTTTTCCCAGACCACTGGGCTGCTGGGAAATTTATTAATGTGGCAGGTCCTCGAGCTTGGTGGTGTTTGTCTCCCATGCTCTCCCATGCATGAGCCTCTCCAAGGCACATCATCAGTGTAATGGACCAGTGAGATGTCCCGTGGGGTGCGAGGGAGATCAAGCTCTTCCTTTCTGCAGTAGGCCAGAGCAGGAAAAGGGCTGTCACCTTAGAGGGGGTGTACATTGCAGGTGTACTGCCTTCCTGGCCTTGTGAAGGCAACTGTTTCTGATCTTCTCTACTGATGAGGTAGGAGTGATGCTGGGAGGCAGGAGAGCCTGGCATCTGGTATTTAGTTTTTGACCCAGAAAATGCTATGTTGATCTTTCCCGGTAAATATATCCCATCCAGAGCTGTTAGCATTATGGCATATTAAGTTTCTTAAATCTATTTATCTTCTCTAGCATCCGTCTGGCTTTTGAATCAGCTCTGCAGGTAAGCTGTGTGATGTACTGGGTTCCCACCTGCATGTTTTATATTTACCTGCTTGTTTACCATGGTACGCCCCATTGTTTTCCGGGAGACCTGAGTTTCCTTCTGAAGTCCTCCCCGCAGGCGGAACATTTTTCAGTAATCGTGCTATGCAAGTCTGCTGGTGATGAATTCTCCCATTTGTTAAAGTGCGTCTGTTTTTTTCCTTTGTTCTTGAAGGTTATTTTCTTTGGTCACAGAATTCTGGGCTAACAGCGTTTCCTTTTAATTCTTCAAAGGTGGAGTTCCACGTTGTCTGGCTCCATTGTGTATGCTCATAGGTCAGTGGTGTTCACGTTGTTGTCCTTGGTGTGGACATGTGTTGTCTTTCTGGAAGTTTTCCAGGAAGTCACTCTTTGGCTTTCAGCAGTTTGACTCCAGGGTGGGTTTTTCTCCTGCTTGGGGTTCAGTGAGCTTCTTGAATCTGTACATTTGTCTTTCACCAAATTTGGTGACTTTTTAAATCTATTATTTCTTCTGTTTTTTCCCTGTCTCATTCTTTCTGGGATGACTTTTAATATTATTCTCAGGTCCCTGTGGGTTTATGTGTTTGTTTTTCTCAGTCTTCATTCCTCTTTGCCCTGGCTGCAGCTTTGTGTCATGTTGTATTTCCTCTGTGGGACAGAATTTGGAGTGGCAGCTGAGGCGGTGGGATTGGAGGCTGAAGATGGTGAGGAGGAGAAAGTGTGGAGGCCAGTGTGCAACACCATCTCTCTTTCGAGAGTGTGGCCTGGGCCAGATAGGTCATGGCATATGAAGAGACAGACAGACTGAGCCTTCCATGACCAGGCCCAGCCCAGGAAGATGCTGTGGTGGGCAGAGGACTTGGGCCTGAGGTTCCTGCTGTGTCCTGGCCTTAGCAGATGTGCCTAACACCCTACCTGGAAACTCTGTCATCTCCTGTGTCAGAGGGAGAAACCTGGGTTCTGAGAAGTCCTCTGGACCCAAGGTCATGAAGCTGAATCAGTGACATGAGTGTGTGATTGGGAGTGATTGTGTGTGATTGAAGCCTTTTGGACAGCGCAGGAAGATTAGGATTGTCCTCCAAATTCTCAGTTCAAGCATTGTCCCCAGTCTGGGATTTTTCCCAGGCAGTATTACTACTTGAGCCATCATCTACTGAGTCTTGTGTTCTTTTTGCCATATTGTGAGATCCTGCCCTGGCCCTCACATCATCACTGGCCAGGTAGGTGACCCTGGTAAACAACTTTACCTTTGTAATGCCATCATCCTTGTTCCGAGTGTGCGCAAATGGGGGCCCAACTTTGCGCGACTGCTGAAGGGGGGCAGTGACAGATGTAAACTTGCACTAGGAGTTTGCAAAGCTCCCCCCGCCACAAGGTCTTTCTTCAAGGGCTGTATGTTTCCCCTTTTCTATCCACACAGTGGTGCAAATTTATGCCCTCCTGTATTAGGGAAATATTTTACCTTTTAGGTGTTGCTTAGGCGTGGGGGGGGGCAGCAGTGAATGAAACATAAAATCACCTGTCCTCATGTTATTTGTGTCTCGTTCTCTCTGCCATTACCTCTCTCAATGCTAAGTCTTGGTTTTAGCCTCACTCTTCGCAGCTAAACCTCTGGGCTCAAGTCCCAAGTCTGAAGAAGTCATTACCCTACTATTAAGTCACTAACTCAGTTTTCCTGTCAGCAGCGTCGGATGATTACACTTATTTTATAGGCTCATTAGGCCCTCAGACCGGGTGACGTATATGTAAAAGAAGTCAGCATAGAGCCCAGCACACAGCAGTCATTCTTTGAACATTCCCTCTTCATGTGGATCCATGGTGGGCATATTTAATTTTCTCCCTAGGGTTTCGTACTTTTGCAGTTTTCTTAGGTGTAAATAGGCTGTTTTCTTTTTAAAACTGCGTGTTGCACTACCAGCACTGAAACGCTCCTGATGTCCAAGTACACGTGACATTTCTTCGTTGAGTCTCTTCTCCCCTCTCGGTTACCATACAGGCTGAGCACCCCTTATCCGAAATGTTGGGGCATCAGACATGTTTGGGGTCTTGGTTCCCCCCCAGCTTTTGGGATATCTGCAAATACATAACGATATCTCTCAGGGTTGGGACCCAAGACTAAACATGGAATTCATTTGTGTTTCATGTCCACCTTGTACACTTTGCCTGAAGGTAACTTTATACAATATTTTGAGTAATTTTGCATAGGAAAATAAGTTCCACAGTGTGGAATTTTCTGCTTGTGGCTCATGTTAGCACTCAAAAAGTTTTGGATGTTGGAGCCTTTTGGGTTTCAGATTAGGATTGCTCAGCCTGCCCTTACCATATGATTTTAACCCCCCCTCCCCCAACAAAACCCTGGCTCTCTTTGGATCTTCTCTCTGCCCAAGGGATACAGACCTCCCCCAACCTCCCAGCCAGACTGTCTCTGTCACACCCCGGTACACCCCAGGCCCCCAGGACTGCTCCTGATGGCTGTCCCTGTTCTTGTCGTCCCTCCTACAGGTTATGGGCACGCGGCCCCGGGAACCGACGCGGGCAAGGCCTTCTGCATGTTCTACGCCGTGCTAGGCATCCCGCTGACGCTGGTCATGTTCCAGAGCCTGGGCGAGCGCATGAACACCTTCGTCCGCTACCTGCTGAAGCGCATCAAGAAGTGCTGCGGCATGCGCAACACCGAGGTGTCCATGGAGAACATGGTGACGGTCGGCTTCTTCTCGTGCATGGGCACACTGTGCATCGGGGCGGCCGCCTTCTCCCAGTGTGAGGAGTGGAGCTTCTTCCACGCCTACTATTACTGCTTCATCACGCTGACCACCATCGGCTTCGGGGACTATGTGGCGCTGCAGAGCAAGGGGGCCCTGCAGAGGAAGCCTTTCTACGTGGCCTTCAGCTTCATGTACATCCTGGTGGGGCTGACGGTCATCGGGGCCTTCCTCAACCTGGTGGTCCTCCGGTTCCTGACCATGAACAGCGACGAGGAGCGGGAAGGCGAGGAGGGGGCGGCCCTCCCAGGCAACCCGAGCAGCGTCTCCCACATCTCCCGGGAGGCGCCGCAGGTGCGTCCGCGGCCCCGGCCCGAGGGCGGCGACCTGCAGTCCGTGTGCTCCTGCGCCTGCTACCGCTCGCCGCCACCGCAGAACTTTGGCGCCACGCTGGCGCCGCAGCGGCTGCACTCCATCTCCTGCAGGGTGGAGCAGATCTCGCCAAGTACACTGAAGCACAGCCTCTTCCCGTCCCCTATCAGTTCCGTCTCGCCCGGCCAGCACAGCTTCCGCGGCGACCACCTTAGGCTGATGCGGCGGCGCCGCAAGTCCGTCTAGTGTGGGGAGGGAGTAGAGCGGAAGAGTCATTGTCATGTGGCTGTAAGTTCCATTGGCCCCACTCGACTTCCCCTCCTTATTTATTTATTATTATTATCTTTTGTTATTTTTACAGTCATCGCCATTACTTTCTCTCCTCCGCCCTCTCTCGGTTTCATTTCTTCTTTCCCCACCTTCCCAGCCAGGCAGAGCAGCCCGAGGGGAAACTAGAGCATGAAGCGTGGATTTCTTCCGTCCTCCCCAGCAAAGGATGCCTTACATTTCCCCTGCCCCTCCCCTTTCTCTGGGGTGGCTTTCCTAGGACAGGTGTGAGACCAGACCACCGAAAGAGAGCTGAGAGGATGCCCACCCCGCAGCTGCTCACCAGGCTGAGCCCCTTTGGCCGCTGTCCCTGGCGGTGTGTCCCACCTAACTCCGTTTTTTCCTCCCGAGGACTGGGTGGCCGTGTGTCCACGTGTGTAGTGTGTGTGTGCTTCTGTGTGTGGGTGTCTCGTGTGACAGGATGAAGGTATCAGAAGTTCATTTTCCTTCCCCCTCACACGAGTTTTTGTTAATAGCCTGCTTTTGGCTACTTTCAGACACAGCGGGAAAACCTAGGAGGGTTTTAAAGTATCATCTTGCCAAATTAAGCATGCTCTACAGGCAGGGTTTACAACCACAGCTTTAAAGCACTAGGTTCTAAATCACATTCACATTTTTCCAGTGGGTGAGTAGGCAAGAAGACATTGATGACCGTAGCTTGCCAGTTTAAAAGATTTAAAAAGCATGCACTTTGTCAAACTGGTACACTTCATCAACACAAGAAAGCCAATGGAACAATGGAACAATCAAAAGCCGCTAATACAATTTATTGAAGACATTTTAAATTTTAACCATCTTCAGTTCCAACAGTTTGCCATACAGCTGGAAATGCCAGGGGAGAGTGGAAAATTGTTGGAACTGCAGAGTATCTATTGTATTATTTCTTTCATACTGATGATGACGATGACGACGACGAACCATGATGTTGATGATGATGTTGATTATGATGATGATGACTTTTGTGTAGCATCTACCCTGCGAATAAGAATTCTAGTTTTGGAATGCTTGGATGAGAATGGGTATTAGTACGTGGATGTGGTTTCCTAATAAAAAGCAACAGGGCATTCCTCGTTTAAATATATATATATATATATATATATATATATATATATTTCAAGAAAGATTGTCTCTAATTGCATTTGACTTGTAAATAGGGGAAAGTTCATGTTGGTCTCAGGAAGAGTTTAGAGGCTGTATCTTGGCCTACTGGGAACTTGTCGATCTCAGGGGATGCTTTTGTCTAGATAGAGGAAAAATTCCTCCCCACTTTCAATAGGGGTGACCCCAAAGGGAAGGCTTCCTCATCTCTTAGGGGACAGTTTAGGCTAAAGAATATGGCACACTGTAGGCCCTTACCATGGCAGGAATAAGGGACAGTTTGACCTCCACATTCACTGAGGGGACTTTAATTTCTCTCATCATCATCCCTGCCATTTCTAAAAGTCACCCATTCACTCATCCCCCACTTCCCTTTTGTACACCGGAAGTTCCTGCTCCTGGACCGAATGGGCTTTGGCTGCACTACGCAGAAGGAGCACGTTTACTGGCCTCCGGGATTACCTCAAGGAGACAACACCCAAATGCCACCCGTCCCAAGTATGTGGGCCATTGGGCTGAAACCAGGAGCATTCAAGACTCCTCTGGAAAGGCTATGCATGCACTTTAATGCTACACCCTGTGTTGAAATGTCCCCTTCCTCTAGGACACAGGACCTTCTGAAAGTCTGTGAACCTCAAACTCTTTTGGCCAAAGTTGACAGTTATCTGCCTTCAAGGTCTTTATGAGTTCACTGGTTTTCCAGATCTCGTTTTATGGAGCGCCCTACCTAGGGCTCTAAAGTATGTCCAAAGGATAGAAATGATTGCTCTTGTTGAATTTTTTCCTCTCTGAAGAGAGTGTTGGCTGGAGGAGGTCATACATAGGTGTGAAAATATGAATGCATATTTGCAGAGTACTTTATGTTTTGGAGCAGGCTGCCTGGAATACATGTAGGAGTTCTCTGGAAAACCTTTGTAAGATTTGCTCTCAAATGGGGGTGTGTGTGTGATAATCTTTGATCTGTACATGGCACTGAGAGGATGAAGAATTTGCTCAACATTACAGAGCTGATCTTTGACAGAACCAAGACCATAGTCTCAGTTCCAACCCCAGAAAGGTCCAAAATGCTGACTCCTCCACACCAAGGGGTCCCAACTTAGCCCTCCTATGAGGGATTCTGCTTCTGTGTCTCCACAGAGGTGCATGCTAGGCCCTTGGAGTCAGTCAGAGGGAAACTGGCTCCAGGCTCCCTTCAGAGCTGGTTTCCCACTAAGATATCTGCTTAAAGTGGTCATGCAGTGACCATTCTGCTTGAATGCTTCATGTGGCAGGGAGCACCTCTCTTCCCAGGGAAACATAGAAAACATTCTCTATGTTTTCACAGAGCTGACTCTCTTCTTTGCAGCAAAATAGGATGAACACTTTCTTTCTGCTCTGGTGATGACAATTTGAGAGGTAGAGAATCAAGACAACTTACACCTTCTCTTGATTCTGTGTCCCCTGCTGTCTTCTGCCGCCAGCTCAGCCCTCTGAAGGATGTACACCAAATCTTCTTTTCTAAGGTTAAACTTGAAGTGCGTAGGGCATAGTTTCTTGCCCCAGGGAGTGGATCTCTTTTCTCAGATGGTCTGTCTGTTCCCCTTTGAGGGACCTCGCCAGTGAGTCCCCTGGGAACATCCAGAAAATGCTCTTGGGGTGAGGGAAGAGGCAGTCAAGATCTCCAGGGATAATGACTTTTGATGTGATAGGAGGGGGACATCTCTACTGGTGCCACCATAGTCAGTGGTTGAATCAGGGAGCCTCTAAGCCAGCAAAGCTCTGCCTGCATTATCCTGTTGATCTCCCTTGTCTTTAGGGGAGGAGACCAAGTTCAGAGAGGTGAACACGGTATGAGGTCATGTGGCCAGAATCTGGGTCTTCACACTTGTTACTCTTTCTACTGTGGTCCTGGCTGCTTTTGTCGTTGCTGTTGTGTACAGCTTTCCAAAGATCCCTTGTTACTGGACTTTTTCATGTTTCTGGCCTCTCTTCCTCCTTTGTGCACTTGGTACTTTCCTCCTGCCAGGTGAACTTTGTACTCTTCCTCCAGTTAATCACACCCATCCAGCCAGGGTGATGAAAGCACACAGGTTGTTTGACTGACTGGGCTGCAGCTTCTGTCAGGACACGCTCAGGAAGAGTTGTGTTCTATCAGAAACACAGGAGGTTACCTCATCTTCTAGAAGTCAACATGCCTTGTATATACTTAACGAGATTTCTGACTCTCACTTGAACTCTTTTCCACTAAGAGATCTCCATCTTTACTCCATCAAAGACAGGAAGAAGGTGGGCAGTGGTATTGATTATCCTGGGGTCCTGGGCTCATTCCTTTATAGAGAGCATCCGGTTTCAGTCCTCAACAGCACCATACCAGGCAGAAGGTGCTGTCTTGACCATCAGCCCGTTAGAGTCTTTACAGAAGAGTGAAGCAACCTGTCTGGGTTCTGAGATTCCTGGTTAGTCCCAGAGCTGGGACCAGCTCTGTTCTTTCCACTTGCACCACTCTGCCATGAAACAAAGGCAGCAGCCTCCAAGCCCAGCAAGCTCCCTGAGCTCTAAATTTGATCACTGTCTTTGCGGGACTGTTTTGTTCCCAGTGGGCACTGCTAGTTGAAAGGGTAGCCTGTGCTCAGGCATGAGCATAGAAGATCATTTGCTACCCGACAGTCCTTTGGATCCTTTATCTTTCCAGGGGAGGAAGTAAATGGATACAGATTGCTGCCTGGAAGAGCCTCCTGGGAATGTGCTCATTAGACGCCTCCCCTGACAAAGGGGAGCAGGATTCATCTCAGCTCACCGGTTTGTTCTCTGTGCACAGGGACTTGATTGAAAACATCTAGAGAGTAACTAAGAACAACAGATAAACCTCAGCAGGTTATTTTTCTCTGCTTCATCCAGATCAGAATACCCACGTGGTCCTGTGTCCCCTTGGACACAGGCATTTGCAGCTGGAAGCTGGAGAGAACAGAGCTAGAGAACTCCACTGCCTGTGTACATTTCGTGGAAGAGGGAGGGGAGAGGTGAAAGTGATCACTAATCTCTGAGGCTTCCGGCCTCTTTTCTCTTGTATTCTTTTTATGATAAACCCTAACTGAGATGCCCAGGGAGGGCATCCACAGAAGTGTGAGATCTGAGCTGGATGTTGGAATGTGTCCTCCAATCGGCATCACAGTCACTGTCATCTGTGAGTGTGGTTTAGTTCTTAAAGTGGAGTGACTTGGGGCTCACACTTGTAAAATGTTTTTTTCTGCAGAGTCATGGTCTTCGTGGGATCCCAGAAACATCCCAGGCAAGGAAAGAGTGGCAGCACATTGTGTCTTGCCTCGCTGGGCTCCTGGAAGTCATTTCACTCCCAGAGCCTTGGTAGCTTTCTCCTTAACACAGTGGGACAGCATAGGTGGGAACTAATGAACTTGACCCACAAAGACATTTGGCCTGGATTTTCGGATCATTGGGCATATTTGAAGGGTGAGCCCCCAAGAGGAAAGCCAAGAAAATGTCATTTGGCAGGAGACTGGGACCTGGGAAGATGAAGAGACACAAACAGTGGCAGAAAGCAATGGTCACCTCATGAGCCGAGGCCCAGAGCTCTCTGGATTCTACAGAGTGCTGAGCATTAGTCCATTCTATGTGGTTCTTTTATGACCACACCTTGATAGAAGCTGCTGCTCCAGGAAAACAAAAGTATCTGCTGAGGATCCCCCTAGCAACTTTGTTTTGAAAATCCCAGAGTTACAGAAAAGTCAAATGAACAGCATGATGAGCCTATCCCTTACTCTCAGATCCACCAGCCTCAACACTTTGCTCCCCTCTTTCCTTCCCCTCTCAATCTGCACTCAGAGACATTTGGAGGCGAAAGTGTCATGTCTACAATTTTTAGGTGGTTCAGCCAAAGAAAAAATTGTATATCTCTCATGAACAAGTGCATTCTCCTACGTAGTGCCATTGTCACACCTAAGAAATTTAGTATCATATATTATCTAATATAATCTGTATGCAAAGATCCCCCAAGTGTCCCCAAAATATCCTGCAGAGCTTTTTGTGAATCTAAGATGCCATTCAAGAAAATGTCCCAGACCTGCGTATCTTGTTGTCCCAATTGAGGGCATCTCCCTCACTGTTTTTGTGTTTTGATGTTGATATTTTTGAAGGGTTCAGGCCCCTAGTCTTGTAGAATGCCCTGCTTTTGTCTACTTGTTCCCTCAGGTTGAGGAACTGTTGGCAAGAAAATACTGTAGTTGCTGTTGTGTAGCTATGATTTATGCACTTATGTCTGTCTCTCTGGGGACCTCTGTGGTTACTGCTTTCATTGTGAATAAATAAGTCATATTAAATGTTGTTTTCCTCTGTTAGGGGAACTAACTACAGCTTCGAGAGAGGCGTCCACCGATGCTGGGTCTCAGGGCCGAAGCCCAAGCAGGCTTCAGATTTCTGGCCTCTCCCAGGGACCTCTTCTGTGCGGGGCGAGCGTCAGCATGCTGCCCCCAAACGCGTGTGGGGATGGTCCAGCTAACATAGACAGGACGCACAGACTGATTCTTGTGAGGGTCTCTCCAAGCCATTCAGGCTGTCTCAGCCCCTACCAGCTCCAACTCCGAGAATGGCAATGTCCACCACGCCCTTCTCATTCATTATCCCGGAGATGTGATCTATTATGGTGCCACTGCCCCTGGCCATTAAGGGTTGCAGTCATGATCTGTCTTTGGGATGTCTACCTTGGCAAGTGCTAGGGCACAGCCCGTTCTGTGATGGTCTTATGAAGTACACTAGTGTGGCCGTCACCTTTCCTTTTGATCAGGGAACTAGGCCCATACAGGTTTCACTGCCACTCAGGGGGGCACAAGTGGAGACAAAGCATCTTGCTGCTCCTTTCAAAGTCTCTCCTGACCCTTTGGCCCCTGCTGGTTTGGTCATGTCCTCCCCTCGATTTCCCCAGTGCTTGTTTCTATCCTGGATTGACATACTGTGAAGCAAACCTCC